CAAGGCAGAGCTTTGCACAGAGTTGCTTACCAGTGCTACAGCAGGGATAGAACATTAGCTGTGAGGCAGTAGATCTGCCAGCTAATGAAGGCTATAATTAAGCATAACACCTGTGTGTAGAGGCTGCAGGGAAGAGGCTTCCAAAAAAAGGCTTCCCCACCCACTAGGTAGGAGATCTCTCCTCTGCGGAAGCCCTGGCCACATTGCTGCTAACTTGGCACCACCAGAATGTGGGGTGCTGTAGGGGACTGTAACTCCCCCCCCCCCCCCCCTCCATTTCTGCGCACCTTAGCGGTCACAGTGAGTGAGTAGCTCAGCTTTCATCCTGGAGAAAAGCAGAAGGGTGAAGATTACGGCTGTGATTATGGCTCTTTCCACTCCTCCACACCTCTGAAAAAGGATCTTTGTTAGTCTTTATTGTCACTCATAATGAATCCATTTCCATACCCATCACTAAAACAATTTAGGTGCCTGATAAATCACATTACTTTCATTTATATTCAGATCTAATTGATTCCCCGTGTTTATTTTCTCAAGAGAAAAAAAAAAAAAAGGCATCATTCACTACCGAGCAGCTTTCTCTACTCACAGCCTTGCTCATTCTCCACTGCAAGCATGTTCTTTCCTCTCTATCCCCAATCAGTTCAGAGGAGCAAAAATCCCCTCTGGTTTATAAGTGAGCATTAATTAGCCCACAACAAATGCACAGGCACTTGCCCTTCTTTTCCTAGGAAGTTATCATGTACAGGTCTGGGAGGAAGAAACTGAAGTCAGGTCAGAGCTATTGTCCCCAGCAGCAAACCTTGCAAATACTGATTTCTCTTGACAGGACCAAGCAGAAAGAGTGGGTTTTGCTACTGGATGCCTAGGTATAGGAAAGTGGTCTGGTTTCCTTACAACTCTTCCCTATGCTTCTAAGTCCTTAAAAACCCTTACAAATGTGCAGATATATAGTTGTGCATTTAAATAATAAAGTGTTTTTACTTATTTTCCACATAGGAATGAACAAGTTTCAGTTTCCTCTTTCAGCTGAAAGACAAGATGGTGGGGGAAAAGGCTCTAATCGTATCTGAGGTTTTAATATTTGTCAATCAGTGTTTTCTTATATTTGTGTCAAAGAATGGGACAGAAATAAAAGGAGGAACACATTTATTGTAAAATCTAAGGGACAATATTTGGATTTTGTATTTCCATAGTGACATACACATTGATAATATACAGAGAAGGATCTGAAAACAATTATAGCAATCTAATATTCAAGATCAAAAGTAAGGCAAAGCAGGAGAATCAGGCATGAAATTTGTTCATTGTTCATTTACCAGACTCAACATGGACGTTTTTGTATCTGAGACGGACTCAGGGGAGTTACATCACATCACACAGTCACAGAGCCTTTCTTTGAAAAAAGCTTTTTACATTAAAAAACAAACAATAACAACAACAGCATTCTTCTAACGGATCACAGCTGAAGCAAAGCAGTTTTATATCCAGAAATAGAAATTGGTTAAGAGAATTAGTGGCTGTCTGAGGCATCAAGCTGGGTGTGATAATGAGATGGGTTATAAATAATGTCATTAATTCACATGTCCTTCTAACACATGCCACTCCAGTTAATGTACAAATCCCAAATCCCTCAACACAACATTCACTGACCTCCTCATTAAAGTATCTAATGGCATGAAGCCCGTTTTGCACAAATCTGCTATCTAGAGCTCTGAATCATGAATAATTATAATGCAGCATTTCTGCTCCTGAGCTAAAAGACAGAAGTATTTCTGTCACCAGAAAACAAGACTTTCATGTCTTTCATTGCCTTTTCAAAGTGTTGTGGTGTGTTATGGGGCAGCATATATCCCTGTGCTCTGTGCCAGTGCTGGGGCATGCCAGCATCCTCAAAAACCCCCTTCTACCTTGTAGAAGCCATTGATACCTTTCTGCTATGCCCCTAAAGCTAAATACACTTTATTAATCTCGCTGATTGCCCCACTAGCAGCCACTCCTCTGCTGGTGAAGGGTCACTGCTGATGGCAGCAGGTATTTGTCTCTGTTTCTCTGTCAAAGGTTTGGCTGGATCCCCAGGGCTGCTAAACAGGGGAGGGGTGTGGGGATCGGGGGGATGGATTTCCTTATACTTGAAGGGAAGACAGAAGCAGATACTTTTTTTTTTCTTCTCCCCCCCCCCCCCCCCCATTATTCTAAAAGACCTCTGAAGGAGTAAATGTACTTCTGGAAAGTGCTTGGAGAGACTGGCTACCTTCAGTGAATTCTGGAGCTTCTGTTGACTGCATTCTGCCTTTCTTTCCCCAGAATACTTCAGGATGCCACTGACAGAGTCCTGTAGGTAGCTGGCACAGCACCCAAAGGAAATTGCTTCTGGACCCTGAAACTGGTCCTTTGTTCTCCATCAGCATCACAATGCAGCATGAGTGATGTATCTCCTGCTTCTATATTAAGAAAGAGAATGCACTTTGTGTTTTCAACAGGCAGGCAGGCAGGCAAACTATCTCTACAGGCTTTTGTCAGTGACAGTTTCCATGGTGTTCATGCCCTCTTTTTCAATCTCAGAGAGTACAATTTCATTATCTCCAAAGATAGTGTTTAAATTGCCCATCATGTTAATAAATTAAACCCTGGTAATTATGGGTTTTTCTAAATAATCTAATAAGGATGCTTCTGCTTTGATGGGGAGAATTTAATTGTAAAACAATATTTATAATGGACTTACAGAAACCATGATCAACTAGAATGCCTTCTCTGGAGGTTAATAGTCCTCTCTGCCCTGCAAGGCCAGAGCCTAACCTCTTCTTGTTGAGCATGGGAAAGAATCTACGGGTTTAAATACAGAAAATATTGAGAGAGTGGCCATTTCATCAAGGGATTCACGGATTCTTCCAAAGAAACCCTTTCCCAGCCCATCTGAAACAGTGACGCTGCTGATTTTGATGTTGCTAGTCTGGATCAGCCACACATGCTGCTCAGCCTTCTCTAATGTAGCATATTGACAGCAGTGAAAGCTGAGGTGGAGCAGGAGACTTGTGCTGGGTGTCTCCATGGTGTGCTGGCTGCACTGCCATGATCCAGCTGTGGCTGACAGAATGAGCTACCTTGGAAAACCCTATTCAGAAATGAACTCTAATTAGCCCCGTTATTGTTTGAAAATGGCTATTTAAAATCTGTGTATGCATATGGATTTGAGTAATATGATGATAAGTATCAAGTGGGATAAATGCTACCTCCAGCTGATCTATATTTCAGGGGGGTTTCATTCTTCAAGGCATCCTCCTGCTCTGAAATCATGATATTGACTTACAAGGCATGAGATTTAGAAAGTAATATAGCTGCTGTGTTGGTGTTGGTTTTTTTTTCCTTCTAGGATTTGAGTTTTCAGGGTGCATATATCCAGGCTTTCCTCTGAGCTTTTCAAGGAAGCAAAGCAGACAGTGAGAAGCCCAGGTAACCACCTGCCTTCAGGAGCTGCAGCTCTACAGATGTTACTGGATATAGGAAGATTTGGCAAGATCACAGCATTTCTGCACTTGCCTATCCCTGTAGGGACAGGGTAGTGTTATTTCAGTTATGCAAAGATATTCTGTATAATTCCCAATGCCCACATTCAAAAAAGAAGAATTCAGAAATTCCTAGTAGACATATGGGGAACGGGTCAAAATGACCTCTTCAGGACTGGGGACTTCTCAGAACAAATGGAGTGGAGGGTAAGCTGGATAGTGCTTATAGGCTGAGAAACCAAAAGGCAAGCCAAGCGCTTTCTCCAAAACAAGACCAAAGCTGCAAAGAGCCAATGTATATGAGATGTCTGTAGATGCCTCATTATGTAGAATTATTCCCTTTTAAATCTATGCTAAAGTAACTTGGTTTTGTAACAGGATGCTACTGGCTAGGCATCACTGGCTTGTAATGCCTGTGACAACATTTCTTGTTCAGTTTCTGCAGTGTTGGAATGAAGATGCATCTGTGCATCAGCCTGAAAACTAATGTCAGATGAGCTGATTTAATTTGTGGTCTGGCCTCAGCATCTCCTCTATGGATTATGTAAGACATTTTCCTTTTCTGTAGTTATAAGCCAGTCCTGAGGACAGTAGACTTTGCCTTCACATGTGGACTTGCCTTGGCCATCCACTATTGCAGTGAGAACTACCAGAATTGTAAACGGCATAAAACATATATAGTTTCTTCTGGAAGAAATTAGAAGTGGCTCTAGATGTCACATATCAACTGGCTTATAAATATAACTGTAATGCCTAAAAAAAGGTGATGATCACCTTTATACCTGCTTAATAGCATCATTTTAAACTGAATTACTGACATCATATATTACCTTCTTCCCCTACAGTAAATGGTCTCTCCCTGCTCTATTTTATTACTTATTGTAAATTCATTCAAGCAGTATATTTTGCTTTCAGCAAGGTATCCTCAGTTACTTTTTCTGTCCAGGATAAATTGAGATAAATTTTGCCTGTGCCTGTATTTTGCTTATGGCATCCATCTTTGCCCATGAAAAGTTACATGTAGAGTTGAACAGGACTTGAGAAATGATCATAGTGTACTGTAGAAAGTTACAGATCACCAGTTTGCAGTCAAACTGTGTGCAGAGGGCTCACTGAAGCAGCCAAGAATTTAATAGAAGGTGAAAAACATAAAGAAATGTGATGTATTCTCTAATGTTTATCCTGATAAAGTAATAAGCACATTACAAGGAAGTGACACTAGTTATTTACCATGACATCATAAGATTATACAGTAGCATATCACCCTAGGCACCACTGTTGCTAGTTATCATATTTTTGCTGTTGTAGGATTTATTTCAAGGGCTGTAGAAAAACAAAACTTTACTTTTGGTTTGTTTCTTTTTTCTTTTTTTTTTTTTTTTTTTTCGGTGGGGTTTCAAATAAAAGAGATCTCTATCCCTTTGTTGACATTCCTGTTCTCCCAAGGCTTAGCAAATCTCACAGCTGTGGCCACTTGCTGCCAAATCAAATAAAAACCTTAAGGTTTCCACCAACCAGCTTCTTTGAGGAGTTGCAGAGCCATTGTGGAAGCTACTTGATTGAAGGCTGTGGTTTTACAGCCATGGGAGTGAGATGTGTGAAGGTCAGTCCAGCTTTGCAGTGGTTCTGGGGAGGCCTGCATGTGGAAATGAAATGTATATCTTGCATGCTTTTTAGGAAACTCTATGAGCTGTCCCTAGATGCAACACATTTCTGGGTCAGTCTAGCCTTTGTTTTGTGCTTACAGCTCTGGAGATCCCGTGATGTGTTGGTGGTGAGGACCTGGTGCTGTGGTGGGCTGGATGCCAGTAGAGAACCCATTACATCCTGCAAAGCAGTGCCTGCTCTGTCTGATCTGAAGAGTGGCTCAATAGCAAGTTCACTTGAAGGTAGAAAAAAACAATTATTCAGGTCTTCCCCCTGTAAAAGGGGTCTGGCTTGGTGGCTGGCCCTGGGACACATCAGCACTCACCATCCCAACGGCTTTCCCTGCAGCAGTGGAGAGTGCCAACTGCAAAGCTGCTCCCTCACGTTCTCTTCCTGAATTGTCATCGTTCACTCCTCACTAACATCAAGTGTTTTATTTAAAAGTGTTTAGATATGCAGAGCTCGTTTTGGATTTGTATAATCAGAATTTTTAAGTGGACAAGGCCGTGATTTTCTCTTTACAAGGGAGTAATGTCACATTTCAGCTCAAAGTGAGTTTTCAGAGCCAGGTTACAAAATACAGGCAATTAAATACACAGACTTGAACAGTGGCATGGCTGCATGCATCCAAGGAGACAATTCTCACCCACCAGCTCATATCCACTTTGCTGTGCTCAGGGGAGTGGGGGAATCCTCCTGGGAGCTTCTGTTGATCTTGTGGCAGTGATTCCAAACATATCTTTGGGGGTGCTGCTGGGCATTGCTGGAAATAACGTTCAAACCTGACTCCTTCTGAATTTTACTCTGCAAATGTTGTAGTGGTACTGTTGAAAGTGCAGGTCTGTACACCAGAGGTGACCGGAGGTCTTGTGGAAGGAGATGCCTGTACTCTGCTGGCCTGGCTCTGTTAACTAACCCTTGTAAAACCTCTGAAGTTTATTCTGCCCACATACACTACTGAGAAGAGAGAAGCCTCTCCTCTGGAGTTTTTAGCATTCAGTAAGTAAAAACCAATTGATTTTTAGATCATGGGGCTGAGGGTTGAAAGCCAGTTGGGATAGATTTTGTTTAACTTCTGTATTTAAATAGCTCACACTGTTTGAATACTTATATTGCCTTTTTATTAGCTCACTCATGTTAGTGATGTGTGTGTCTGTGTCTCATGTCTTTGGGGAAAAAAAATGAAACAGCTGGCATGCAGGTCTACAAATAGGTATTAGCCAACATCTGATGTAGAGAGAGTCAGTGTTATACTGAAAGACTTAGGCAGGGTACAAAAATCTCAACTCATCAGGTGCCGCAGGGACATTGTGACCTTGCAGGCCCTTCTCACTGTAGATTTCACTGGTGGTCTGTGTCTTCTGTGCTGTCAGGAGCACCAGGGTCACCCCTGCCTGCTGTTATCTTGCAACAACCTTGCACATCACTGTAACAGCTAAGCTGCAAAGGGCAAGGTTACCTCTGATACTTGCAAAGCCAATTAGGACTTACAGAGCACTAAACTCAGATTTCTTCAAGTCATTTCATTTTATTGATCAGACACATTTTTATTTCCAGACTGCTCACTCTTGGGAACCATCCAGACTTCATAGTGCAAAGGACTATGTAAAATGTACTGATTCAGCACTCCCAGTGTGGTTATTTTTTTTTTTTTAACCTTGCAAGCTACATTTAAAATGCTAGACAGGGCTTGAAGAGCACTATCATATATCCAGTGTTTTTCTGAAAGATTTCTCCAACTTGCATTTCCCTTGTTCTCTTCAGAATTGAAACATTTCCTTCCTCTCTTTCTTGGTTAATTCCTTGGATTTTCCCAGAAGGGAGATTCCCAGCATGCAAGAGAGTTCATAAAGCAGGTGCTGACACTTAACTTCTTCCAAAATATTCCATGCAGGTTGGTAAGCTTTTCCCTATGGCTAATGGAGCTCAGACCAGACAGACAACACTTCAGGTGAGAAGCTGGACCTCTGCCTCTCCCCCAGAAAGTGCAGCACAGCTCTGTGCTGCCACTGCTCCTTTAGCACCTTTGTGAGTGCTGACTCCAGGCACACACATGCAATTTCCTGGAGACTCTTGTGTGAGTGAAATGACTTTACAGACAATTTAATGCCTTCTTGCACAGGAAAGATATATTCTTTTTGCCTTGACTGAAAGAGAGGCATAAAATCCCAGGAAAGGAAATAAAGTGATTCTGGATCAATAGAGAGAAATATACAGTAAATGCTTTAGTATGTTGTGCAATAACAAGAGCCCTTGTGCATTATAAATACAGACGCTTAGCTTATCATGTCCATGCTGTCAGTCCTTCAGTACCCACAAGCCACTTGAAAAGCACGCAGCTGAGCAGGTCTGAAGCCACCAAAGCTGCCTTTGTGTATTGTTCTGCTACTTGGAGAGACATCTTGGACTGAGAATAATGCTGAGAAGAGCCACCATCAGCACCCTGGACCTGGACATTCCAGCGGATGCAAGGCAGAGAAAACTGCACTGAATCTGCCTGGATTTGGCTAACGTTTAAAACCAGCAGCAGCCATTTCGATTTCTCTGGGTAACACAGATCCGTACTACACTGCTAGTTACACACAGGTTTGGGAGCAATTAACAAGTAAGTGACTGTGAAGTGAAAGTTGGAGCATCTCTGTGCGAGGGATCTGCAGAAATCTCTGCAGAGCTGAGGGCTGAGATATCTTCAGAGTTACGTTCCTAACTACATTTGCTGTGCCCTCAGGACGTGCAGGTCTTCCTTGCTATACACATCACAAAGTCCCATAGTCTGGTGAAATTTGGCTGATGGAAATCCATGCTGTCACACTTCATTAGAAGGTGGCCAGGGACAAGCACAGGGAGAAAAATCTCTGCTGATTGCAAACACCTAATTTCCTTCAGAAATCAGACTAGATTTCTTCCCAGAGCATATAGGCTGACTGCAAACATCTCAGAGTATTTGCAGGGCTGTTAGCAGTAAGCTGGCAATAAGTGCTGTCAGAGCCCCTTTGCAAGACCATGGGTCACCCCTTCTCTAGATAAAGTACTTGCAATGTGATGTGAGATGTTTTATTTCTGTACAGCACAGAAACATAGAAAATAGATGTTTAGCTGACTGGTAAGTGCAAGTTGTAATGTACTATTTTTCAAGTGTTTATTCCCCTGGTCTTGTCTACAAGCCAGGAAGAAACTGATCTGAACAGATTTCTCCCGTTGCCCGCCTGAAGCTCCCATTCCTCCTTCAAAATACTTTTTTCAAATTTCTTCTGAGAAACAGTACTTTCAAATAAGCTAATAGAGAATACATAATGAAATATGAGAAGATTTCTGTTGAATCCAACATATTGTCATGTTCCCAGTTCACCTCCTTGCCTCAGATTCCCTTTGTTCTCCCTCCATCCTCTCACCAGCCACCCTGTTCTTTTTCCTTTTGACTGCCCACTTTCACATTCATTTTGGCTTTCCTTCAGTCTTTTAATGCTGTATCTATTCCTTGAATTTACTATAGTTTGACATTCTGTTTCATGAGTCACCGCTGGGGATAGAGTTTGAAGTAGATCAAATTGCACAAACTAGTTCTTACAGCTGCCTAAAACTAATCTGAATTCATGCTCCTTATTCCCCTGATAAACCTTCGTGGATTCTTTGTTCTATACGCTCTCCCCAGAAGATGATGAAGTAAATATATGTATTTATTGCATGTGGTGATGGCTGAATGTCAGGGATAGGGAGACCAAGAACTTCTGCCCTTTTACCTTTGCACAGGTCCTCAGCTTGCACACCACAGAAAGTCTGGATCATGTCCCCTTCCTCAGAAGGTTTCTCTAATCGTTTTCCTTCCAGTACATTTTCAGTCAAACTTCATAATCCTCAGTGAGTTAATTGGGTATGCGTCCAAGTATACATTCGCATTTACATATCTCCTAGTGAAATGCTGAGTGGCAGCCACACTGAATTCCCAGCACTTTTCTGGCCTTCCCTTTTATTCTATCATGCTTTGTTGAATTTTTCTCTAATACAATAGAAATAAAAGTGATGTTTAGAGGAACGCTTGCTTACTAAACAACTACTAAATTCTACGTACAACTCCACTTTGCTGTGGTGTTTAATCACTTGCAGAAATTGTTCCTAAGCTTGTATTTTCTACTAAGAACATTAATCTTTAAATAACTTTATGCCATGGTGGTGTGAGATGATTAGGTTGGCAAGAATATCTGTTGTGGTGTCATCATAATTTTCATTAGTACAGTGGATTATGACAGCTTGTTCTCTGTTCAAATTGATGTGATTACTAGTCTGAGACCCTGGCACATTTCACTAACACCTGACATCTGGAAAAGAAAGGTGGGAGGCAATGAAAGCTCTCAAAGTTGCTACGTGATGCACACCAATAGTCTCATCATTCATTCCAGCAGCTGCTGCAGCCAAGGGTTATGGCCTTCCTTGGTCAACAGAGCTAACACAATTCTTGTGGTGATAAAACAATTAGCTTTTGTGATTAGTGATGGAAAATGCCATCAAACGATGAGTTGTGCTGAATAGGCAGCAACTAGAATTACCAGCACTTCTCTATTTAAATTCAGGTAACATATCAGAAGTGGGTGGATGAGTTGGAGATTTATTTTAAGAAGAACAAAAAGCAAGTGTCAAATATACATGTGTATATCAAATTGAAGACTCGTATCAGAACAGCAATGACAATGGAACAATTCTACCAGCAAAACTGTGAAGAAATGTGTTTCTAGCTTATATAACACCTTTAGCAGAGGATGAACTCTTGCCCTTGAATAATTGTGGTCCCTGTAAAGCTAATACTGCATGGGACAGCAGTGAGAGCTGCCCTGAGAAGCCAGACACTCTCACTCTGGCACAGCCATGAACCTGCACAGGACCCTCAACAGCCTTTGGTTCCCTAGGCTTCATACAATACTGCTGATATAAAGTGGTACTATCATACCACCTGACTTCAATCCTGGCATTTAACAATGACAGCAAAAGGATCTACAGAGAACAAGGCAGGTTCATAGTGGAAGTGAATTTTTCTTGTGCTACGAGTGAAATTCCTTTTATGTGGCAGCATTAAGCTTCTTACCAGCAGCTAAAAATGCAGGCTGTTAGCAATGTTTTTCTGTACAGACATATATATTCCAGCACTCGTCACTGGTGATGAATCTTTTCACAGTGATCTTGTTCCCTGCGGAGTCACCAAGCCCCACGCACTGCCAGTGCTATGAGTGTCCGACAGGAAAATCAGATTTGCTCTTTCACCATTAAGCTGCTATTTCCAGCCTTGAAAATTATGCTGGGTGACATTAGGCAGCCAGGCTCCATAAAACAGCATAGACAAGACTGTCAGATCACTGCACTGGCAGAATAATCTGTTCTGACACGGAGGAAACCGCTACATGGGAAAAACTGAGTCCTGATCCAGCCAGGGAAATGTGTGAGGGTAAAATGCCAGTGCTGCCACCACAAGAACTCTGGCTGTGTGACCAGACATAGGACACACAATGCATGGGACAGTGGTGCCCAGCGATCTGGCTGGCACTGCACATCTCTGAGCAGAGCCAAAGTGCATTTGAGGCAATTTTTGTACATGAGATGTAACTGAATAAAGCAAAAACTGCACAAAGTAAAACCAAAAGAATTTGAGTGGTGTGGTCTCCCTCACAGAAGACATCTTGGGCTTCTGATAGTGACCAAGCCTGGACTGAACTGCAATGCAGACAGAAGGGAAGATGGGAAGGGCTTTGACAGTGTCCAGCCCTTAGTGAAGTTTTTGTGCAGCTCAGAAAACACATGCAACTTTCTCAATTCCACATCCAAATTTTCTTACAGCGGAGTGAGGTCTTGTGTTTGCCATTATCAGGGATATGTTTTGAAATGTGTTAAGAAATTAACCCAAACCCATTAATCACTAGCATATTTCTTACTACAGTACCAGCCAAGGATTACTTCAATACTTATTTTAATGGATTCCTCAGCTATGAAGGTTAAAGGTCTTGCAAGACACTTTTTATAAGCTTTCTGAAATCTAATCCATCACTAATTTCTGTATGTCTTGCACAGCACTAGGCTAATGTAATGCATCACCACATAAATCCCTCTCTGATAAAATTATCCCAGGTATCACAAAAAATCAAAGCATTGTTCTTAAATACACATGCCTTTTTTTTCAGATGTCTCACTAGTTGAGATGTAAGCCTGGTATCTTCAAGACATTTTTTCTTGATGATGACTATCATTTGTAGTTTATTATGACACCTGGCAGCTCAGATTCTCCATGCCAACAAACGTTAGAGACAGAAGTGGTTCGCTAATGACATCTCTTAGTACAGAACAACTAACTTCCTACTCGTGTCCCCAGGCTGAATTTTTGGCCCAGTACCAGTGTTATTCATCCCACAAGCCAACCTGCTCCCTCTAAAGGGAGCACTGTATAAAACACTGATGTGACTCCTTTGTTCTTTCACTATTAATTTCTTCAACTAATTTTGGTTACCTAGGACATACAACCACTGGTCTAAGCATCAACAGTTGTTTCCTTTTAATGTGTTGCAGATGGATTGGTGCAGAGCCCATGGAGCATAGTTGCAGCATTGTTGCCTTCTTGGTTTTCCAGTCATGATCTCCCACAGAGGAGACAGGGAATGGCACTATGTGTCTAATTCTGCTACACACCACAACTGTGTGCTGTGCTAAGACTAGACATCTTTTTGCCTTCTTTATCCGTGAGCCATTAACACATTGCCTATGAAGGGCAGTGTGACAAACCAGGCCACAACAGCCATGGTATATGTTATGTTAGTGGAAAGTTTACACTGTAGATACAGAGTCAAAGAGAGGCCAAAAAGAAACTGATTTTTCAGTTTCCTGATAAGGAATGCTTAAAAGTATAAGCCTCTTAGCACATCACAAAGCACAATACAATACCTGAAAAAGTATAGAAGGGGAGATAAACTAGAAAAGGAGACTTGTTAGTACATTGACAAAAACATAGTAATGGAGAAAGCCTCATATGTGAAGTCATATGCAATGGTTGTGGCAATAGAAATCATTATATCAAATCCTGCAGACAAGAAAAGAAGGGAAGGAATATTCACCACATTAGGTTAGCAGTGATTTAAGCAAAGAGATCATGCAAGTATCTGATATTATCCAGTGCAAAATAGCAAAAATAATTTGTGTACATCAAGCTGCTCTCAGATGCAAAAACTGTACCCAGACCCACACAGCCACCCCAGGAGGCAGCACATGGAGGAGGACGGTGGGGCAGCTTGGCAGCCTGTTAAGAGTGTGAACAACTTACCTGGGAACAAGAAAGTTCCACAGTCATCAATGCAGCTGCACACATCTGTAGCATGCCAAAGGCAATTGTAAAGCAAGCTGAGCCAGCAGTTCAGAATTAAAGGTGGCTGCAGAAAGCAAAGGCAGACATGAATCTATAAAGAATTTCAAAGTCCTCAGAAAACATCTTTCAAGAGTTTTTTTTTAAGCTAATATATCTGTCCCCTTAAAGTCCTTGAGTGCCATCACCAGTACAGCTGCACAGTACATGGAAGGAATACAAAATTCACCTTTGGCTGGAAAAAGTATCATCTTTCAAGGCTGCTCTATCTTATCCTGGGTGCTCAGGTTTTTCAAATATTTCTGAAATTATGAAATTCCAAATTACTCAGAGACAGGCAGCTGGGCTCTTGCTCTCAGCAGCAGTGAAGGTCCTTAATTTCTGAAAACAAATTTTAATGGAGCTTGCAATAGGAAGAATTCTCCCCACAGGGTTAATTGATGCAAGTCCCATGACAATTCTTAAAATTGTAAGCTGTCAGCCAGGTTTCCCAACCCAATATGTTCTTAACAAGAATTGCTTGTTTTATTTACAGGTTACCATTAATTACAAGATCTGCATCACATTATTAAACTAATATTGTTGAGATTGATGTGGCCTGAATAAGTTATTCATGCCTCATGGCCATAAATGATTTATGCAAGCCCACCTCTATCCCTCCCCCTGTATTGCTTCATCTATGCTGACATTTCTTCGTGAATATTTAAGGTAGGATCTGCTCTCACTTCATGATGAAAGTCAAACACAAGCACACTACAGAGCACAATGGGCAGTTGCTATTCAACCCACACCACACCGACATACAATGAATAGATATTACGCTTTTATGTGCAAAAAGATAATTCTTGCAGGCTGCTTTAGGGTGTAGGTTGCATAACTCTCACTAATAAGCCTTTAAAACTTTACTAGGAGAGTGAATGCAATTACTGGAGCTTGGTTACTGCCTTTCCTTATTTAAGTACAGTAATGTTTGACAGAGCCCACTCAACAAGAGTTATGTGGCAGCAGTGCCACGACATGTGAAGGACACCTGGTTGGCACAGCCTCTTGTGGGACGTCCAGTCCTGGAGTGTGAGCACAAGCAGCAGCTGAGCAGGTGTGCAGGCACAGCTGTCCACCCATTTACCGAACATGTGGTGGAAGAGCTCATTCCTCCCCCAGTGCGCTGACCTTGTCTGACAGAGTTGGTATCCAAAGATGTTTCAAGACATTCCTGGATGGGGACACCAGGACATTTGTCTGTTTATTGAAATAACACTTTGCTGCCTGCAGGGCTATGTGTTGTTGCCACTGTTAACCTTCTCAAGTAATATAAAAGGCAAATTCTCTGCAGCCTATATCTGGTTACCCAGATCTCTATGTTTGTGTGTTCTTCTCATTGTGACAACTTGGATTTCTTCTGGCCTATGATGGAGCTGTCAGCAAGCCATCCCTGGCACCAGCAGGGGTTGTGCTGCAGAGCTGCAGGGGAAGCGCACAATATGGGAGGGACAGGGGCAATGCAGCTGTTATTAGCACCTGTCTTTGCTATGCAGCTTTTTGCAGAGCACTGCCCATGCAAAAACAACATGCATCCTGCTTCTGCACACCCTGTATGAGGGGTTGGAAACAGTTCAGCCTGCAAAATAGGGACAGGCTTCAGCCAATGAGGCTATTAAAGAATCATACCCCAACATCACGCTGGCACTCGGGTGCATTTGCTGCTCACCTTCACCAGGATTCACAGCAGCAAAAAGGATCAGGTTCTGACAGCTCTCCCAAGCCCCCATATATTGTAGGCACTACAAGGAAACACCAGCATTTAAGCAGAACAAGCATGTCCCTGTCTCCTGGGGAGTAGGAGCCCTGCTGCTTCCTCCTGGCTAGCTTTTTACTCCTTAAAAGTGGAAACTGGGATGTCACCGGGCCACCTGTGAGTGGGAACAGCTCCTCCCCTTCTCTCCTTGCTCATTTCTTGCCATGGCCCCTGCTTTGGCAGTGCTCCTGATGTTTTTAAAACTCTCCCTGATTACAGCCTCCTGGAAATGCCACTGTGAGTAACTGCACATTGCACAAATTACACTGGCCCATTGCAAGAAATTGAGAGTTTTCATTACCTCTGGCAGTGCCAGAGTAACAGCAGAGAACCCTCAGCTGCAGGTGAAGGTACCAGGCTGCTGCCTGTGGGCAGGCAGTAGATGTGCGGGGTAAAGCCACGCTGAGCCTGGGGTGTCCCTGTGTGCCAACCTGCCCATGGGCTCCCACTGCAACCTTACCTCCTGTTCAGACCATTCTCTGAATAACAGCCTGTGTACTGCTCACAATTTTCACATCCAGAGACTGACCCAGGAAACCTCCATTATGCCTTTGGGAGAAAAGAAATACTCTAAGTGCTCCTAGGATTATTAATAATGTAAAAGTTTCAATTGTGCAAACACACGAATATTCGCTCACATGAAGTTGGGCTTTTGTTACATTCAGCTGCTGATTAAGGTGTTGGGCAAAGCATTCTCCAGTATACTTTGTGCATGCATTCGGGAGCTAAATAATAGACTGTGTAATTGCCATAGTTGCAAATATTCATTTCATTGTATATGGGAAATTACATTTTCTAAAACAAAAACAAAAGTTATGGTGATTTTGTGGCTATATAGTTGAGATATGCTTGTAAGAATAGCAGGAAAATATTCTTGTGGTTGGCCTAAGCTTGTCTACCTTTAAGGGGAAATAGTGAAGGAAGGAAGTACATGCCAGCTTCAACCTGCAGAGGATCTAACAAGCTGTTGGTGCTCACAGTGGAGTTTACAAAGATGGCATGTTCTAGTTAACTTAAAAAAAAAAAAAAAAAAAAAAAAGTGCATTGAAAACTGTGGTATAGTGAATCTGCCAAATAAGAAGGATACTTTACACAAACAGTGATCAGATATTAGAAGAGGGAACATTCTCAGTTTCATTGTGAATTATTCACAGCATAATCTGTGAATCTCTGCAGTACCCTGATGGCTTAAAGAGACACAAAGTGCTAAAGAGCTTCAGGAGAGACCCAGCAAAGCATGCTGTGCTGTTAAGGGCCTGTCCCCTCGCCAGTCCCTGGGCAGCAGCAAAGTTGGGCCCTGCAGAGCCCTGTATGTATACTCCAACTCAGCCTCTGCTGGCACCCTGTACCATACAGCATGTGAGAGTTGATGCCAAAGCAAATGCATTCTAGCGAAGTCTGCTGGCAGCTTGTTCTCTTTATTACAACCGAGATGTTTGAAAAATATCCCTGGTTTTGTTAGCCTGAATGTTGGCAACAAAGTAGGGAATCTAGGGGAGCATCACATGGGGAGTAATGACAGGCTAAATGTTATTTTCATTACAGCCCCATTAGTGTGATTAGAGAAGGTGGTCACAGTACAACAGGAATTTTCTTTCCTGTCTCTGTGCTCTGTTACTGAAGACATTAATCCAAAAACAAAACCTCCCTTCCTCCCATTTCCCCAAATCATACATACATCTTTTATTCTCCTTACCTGATGTAGTCTGCAAGCTTTTAGCTTTCTGGCATGCTTCAGATGATTTTAAAACATTATCTTATGGTAGCCACGGATAGTTAATAGCCATAGATGTATTTTCTGTGCACAGGTTTCCCAGCACAGGGACCGCCTTCCTCACTGCACACCACTTAAGTACAAAAATCTTCACCTCTAAGACTCCCATAGTATTGTCAAGACAGGACAGCTTTTGAGCACTATTCTGTGCATTCATATATTTTGTTTCACATCCCTAAAGCATTTGGAAAATGAACAGAGAGTCCCTCATTTTCAGAAGAGGGAGGAAGAAACTCTCCAAGTCTGAATGACAGAGAGATCAGGAATGGGCAAGGGAAGATGACACTCAGGGAAATAATCACCCAGACCTAGGAAGAGAGAACCTTGAAGGAAAGAGAAAATTGAGCTTGGGTAATTTTCCAGTTCATTTACCATTGAAATGGAGACTGGAACAAATTCCACACCTGGATCTGAGTTCACTAAATTGCAAGTTTGAGTCACTTTGACATCTCACTGCACAAGCCCATCCCTCTCTAACCACACTAGGAAGCCCATCCTTTAGAGAGGCAGCCACTCAGCAAGCTGTCCCATTGCACTCATTCCCATCCAGCAGCTTCAAGTTGCCCATCCAAGATTTACTACCTGCCTTTTGAACCCGAGTCTGTGTTTCAAAGCCACAAACAACGGCCCATGTTATCTCATGCTCTGAAACCCTGGAAGTGAAACAAACATCTGCCTGCCTAGAGCCAAGAGAACATGGCTAGTAAATGTTGCTTCTCTCACCCTTTGACCAAAACGATCTGGAAATGCTGCATGGTGGCAGTGTTGTGCAATGAGGTAAGAACCCAGAGCACCAACCTGCAACAGGACTGTCAGCTGTTAAATTCGACTGTATGTAATCACCTTCACATTTTCTGACAGCTCAGAAAGTTTGTGACTGACAGGAACAAACAAACAACAAAAAAGAAACACATTTAGTCACCATCAGCCCGGATTTAGGCACCTACATACATTGCCCACTTTCCAGCTGGGACAGACAGGATTTTAGTTGCAGGGAACTGAGATCAAGCTTAGCAGAATGCCCACACATTTCAGCATCCCACACACTTAATATCCATGATTGTAACAACATAGCAACTGGTCTGTAATTAGTACAGACATTGCCAGAGATGCCTTTGTATTACTTATGAGTCATGCTACTAAAATATTCTTTATTCATTATCCAAGTCCTTTTCATTTCAATGCCAGCCATTACCATAGGATACATAGGACTCTGTCAGGCTTGTCAAAGCCAAGTGCCTTCTGATAGGGATCTTCATATTTAATCTGACGAAGATTTACTTTACAAAAGAGTGAGATCACAAGGTTCCTCTCTGCACAAAAGAAGAAAGAAAAATTTAAACACGTCTCAAAGTAAGGGATTTTCTCCTTGTTGCTTCTCCAGGCACCCACCTACAGTTAGAAGAACCACTTTGAAACTTGGCTTAAATTGTTCTGTCAGTTTATTAAATATTTGTATTTTAATATATTTCTAGTTAACTAATGAGGAAAGAAGTCTCATGGAAAGAAAGAAAGCTTAGATAGAATAGGAAACTTCCCTTCATCTTTAATATAATATATGGAACTGAAAAAAAAAGGGAAAAGTAGCTGAAATGTATTATGACAAGCAAATAAAAGTAATATTGGAAAATTCCTTCAGGCAGATTCTGTTCTAGGCCACTACTATTTATTAAGATTTATTTTTTATTCACTAAGTTATTAAATCACTGTGCTGGAAAGTCTTTGGGTCATTTCAAACCACCATTTCATTGATTTCTTATTCCTAAAACATCCTTAATATAGCGTTGTCATTAGAGGTGATGACAATGATCCCAAGATTTCCCTTGGCAGTGGGCTAATTGTCTAAACGTTCTTGCTGTTGAAGAGAAAATCTGACAGATTAACTCAGAATACAATATAAGATTTATAAATAAAAAGGTAGGTTAAAAAAATAGTCTGACATGGTCAGAAAAGTTCCTATAAAACACACAACAGAAAGCGGGTGACTTGGCTTGCTGTTTCCCAGCTCACATGCAGCTAGCTGGGCACAGGTGCGAGCTGAGAGGGCAGCACAGAGGGAGAGCATCCCCCTGAGCAGCCTAGTCCTGGGTGCCTAACCCTAACTGCTGCTGTTCTAAAAACTTTACATTTTCATGCTTTGGAGTTCATCTACTATTTCTTACTGCTGGAATGTGAGTGGCAGACAGAATTGTCTCTCTTGAGTGTAATATGTTATGGAAATGGTGTTTTTCTATTCAGCTGATTTCGTAATCTCATCATGTTCTGCATTTCTAAATATTTAAAAAACGTCTTTCTTTTTTTAGAAATATTTTTTTAGATTTGAATAAATAATTTATTTTAGAATAGAATCTTTTTTTTTTCTTTGTCTTGAATGTCACTATTGTTTTCACATGTAGATGTATACATTGAAGACTTAGTTTTACCTCAAAAGGGAATTCAGAGAGCAGCCTCTCTCTCCGAGATCTGCAGCAGAGCTGGAACATTTTTTTTTTTCTCAGCCATGCAGGCCTAAGAAAAGGGAAATGGCAATCCCTGTCACCTATTGGTGCTACACTGGATCAACATAACAAAATTGCTGATTATACTGATTCCTGAGACAGGCTTGCATTACACAATATATGTCAGAGGAAATCAAACTGCCAATCAAGAAAAATCTTTGAAATATTCAGTTTAGCAATCTATTTGTTTCCCAATTGGAAAAGATATAGCAGAAATGCACTATAGACTGCCACTATGGAGAAAAAGAAAACCTCCAGAAGATTAGTCTAGAAATAAATTTATATTTTAAAGTTGAATCTTTTTTTTTTTTCTTCCCTCTTCTTCCTTTCAATAAAATCTTTGGCTGCATCAGTTGCTGAAGGCACAAAAGTTTGGCATAAGATGTACCTACTGACTTTAAGGATAAATCAAACCAACTCAGCGCCATCATTTCCTGTAAGCATTACAGGAAACACATCCACATCTTTATGAGGAATGACACCAGATGCTTCTGCCAGATCAAAACCCAGAGGCACTGGTTTGCCAAAGAGCTGAAAAGGCCAGGCACTGAGCTGCACAGAAAAAGATGGGTGTGGATGACTCACCCCAAACTGGAAGACCCCAAATTCTTGTCACATAGGCTACCAGACTATGACACATTGCAGCATGGACTGTGCAGGTCATGGGTTGTGTTTCTCACCTCGCTCCTGTCCTGCAGTCACCCTGAACACAGAGCAGTCTCTCCATGGCTGGGAATGTGCCACCTTCACTCTGCTTCATTGGTACGGATGATGGGGACAAGGCCAAAGCAACTGTGATGATCCTCCTGATGGGCAGCCAAAAACACGATGCTGTTATTTACCTTTTCTGTTCTCCATTTCTCACATGCTTTTGACCAGTGCTAAAAGAAAACAAACCTGATCAAAGAACCAGTGGTCCCGTTAGCCTGTGGAAATTGAGGTTCTTTCTCATTTACAGGACATCATTCAGCAAAGAGGTAGCTGAAAGTTTCAGCTGCAGGAATGATCACAGCTGCTGTTTCCAAATCGTGTCCAAAGGAGTTTAAAATAACAGCAAATAATAAAAAGCTACTTTTGAGAGGCAGAGTAAGTTTCTCTATAGCACTAACAGACACTAAATTGTAATTTTCTTCATTAACTCATCATGCTACAGAAGAAATGAGGTTTCAGAGGGAATTCAGAAATCATTTCTTCCACATCAAGAGTTTGTGCACTTAATTTACTGCAGTAAACCACCATTCTGCATGCTGAGGATCTCTGTGTTAGCCAGATGATGAAACAGCATCTGCCTTACACACTTTTTTTCTCCATTTAACTAGTAAAATATTTCCATTTCAGTGATGAGATGAAAAACACAGTGGAGAAAATCACAGAAGAAAAGAAATTCACAGCTTTCTAACTAGGGCTGTAGAGTGAAATAGCTAATATTGCCAGATTCAGCACAAAGGAAAATGACGGGGAATATTTTTTACAAAACACGCTACAATGAACATAAACTGCAAGAGCATTTTGGAGGAGCATGTAGCATGCAAGCAGGATTTCAGAACAACATAAGAGACTTATATATACAGAGGCACATCTTTTTTCATTACCCAAAATGACTTGGGTCTAAAAAAAAAACCAACATTGACAATGGAAGAATTTATGGACGTGGGAATCTGAAATCTCAGTCTGGTTTCCATAGATTTCTAGATGCTCAGAATAACAATGTAATTTGAAACTACAGCCTCATAATTGTGCCTAACATTGGAGCAGCATGTTGATGGCATGGGCCCCAAAGAAACTCCCTCCAAACATTTGCCATCTGCAGCCTGCAGAGAAGGGGGACAGTGAGGTTGGTTTGAACTCACTCACTACACTTCTGGTGCAGCAGAAGTGGTATTAAGCACACTGGTCTGTTTTTTTTTTTTTTAAAAAAAAACAGTGTTCCAGGTACTATGCTTTGACACCTCTCATTTCACATAGAATAAGCCTCTTTTTACTAAATTCTGACTAAAATTTTAATAAAGACCTTTTCCAATTGCTCCTTCCTTTTTCCCTCCCTCCAAGTGCTCAGTTCTCATATATTATGCCCAGCATCTTACAGCTTATAAAAATACATCATTGAATTTGAAGCAAAATCAGAAGAGTTTTAATTGCTCAGAGTCTTGGGAGGTCCCAGCCCCATTTGCAATAGGAATGCATTCAAAGATTCAGCCACTGGATTAATCCCAGGGTTCAGTGGAGGGATCCAAAATTGAAATTTAAAGAAGAGGCTTAGAATAATCAGGTCACTGATCCCAGAAACCCTTATGGTCAGTATGGTCTGGCAGTAGGCTTTCTGCATAGATACAATGTTTTTTTACTGTTTTAAATGTCATGTTCAGCGTGCAGTTGCTCCACTGCTGTTGCATTGTCTGCAAAGGAGCTGTGGACCAAAATTACCATGGATACTTATTTTGCCAAGGCTTTGAGAGCTCAGAAAATGGATGACTGCGGAACATATTTCTTGTGCAATATTTTGGCAGTTTTGAGCATAGAAAAGGCACTATTCCCAACAACAATTGTAAGGGGCAACTGCTATCTACTATTTATTCTCCGTAGTTAACATAATATTTTGAGCTTAGTCACAGAGTGGCAAGCTCTCTTGGCACTGAAGATGTTGTTTCCCCTTCTCCCTAGTGCATGTAACACATGAAACTAGAGAACCAATACTTACAAATGTTCATATATTAAAGACATTACATAGAGAAACAGTGAACAGTAATGAGGAGGAGCCCTAAGTGAATCCTCTCTTCCTTTCAAGGAGTTTTCAAAGCCTTTGTCTACCTCACCTTGTATTATCTTGCTGGGAGATGGTGTCTTTGCACTGTTCTCTGGAGGGGTGAACTTCGTCCCCATAGGAAACTAGCCATAGATATCAGGCAAAGTAGGATATACAGATTTATAGCTTCATTATCTGTTTTAGCAGATATGAATATTGCAAGGAGAAATCATGGAAGGAGATGTTTGTATTCTTGTAAATGGCCAAGAAAGCAGAAAACCACAGTTGTCAGAACCTTTTACTATCATTACCAAAAAGTTTATAACTGTTTACTAAGCATACATAGCCAATCAGTGTTCATAATTTCCAAACCCTATGTTGGTTATACCCTGCACATGCTGCTTAGCAGCCAGCTCAAAGCAGTGGGGATTTCCTCAGTAAGGGGAAATCAGAACTTGTCAATTCATTTAGCAGCATGCTACAAGCCTTACCATGAACAAATTGCATCTACACATCAGAGTTGCTGGAGTTCCAGAAAGCACAAGATAGTGTCAGGGAAGAAAATATATCCCTGGGAGAAAGTTATAGAAGTGATCTTGTAACAGCTGAGCAGTGCAGATAATCAGTCCTCCTTAACTGCCAGTGGGTTGAACAGGACTCTTAGACCACTACTGGCACAGGTCAGCCACCTCTTGCCATTTAAATGTTATCACAACAATTCCTGTAACATTCTAAATTGAAAAAATAATGAGCAGTATATAGAAATGAATCACTGGCTTGTTCTGGGAAAGCAACTAGCCAAAATTCAAAGGACCTTTACAGTGTCACAGAGATTTTTCTGACATAATAATGACTGGTGGGAAGGGCTTGTGTTTGTCTGTGTTCTGCTGCCAGCCTAATCAGATCAGCACCACTAATAAAGTTTACTTCCCTCTAGCTGGCTTTTAGCTTGCAAATGTGTGTTCAGCTTAAGTCAGGGCAGAAAGAAGAAAAGATTTGTCTCTGCCATGTTCTTTGCAGGTTTTGGGAGAGGGATGATACCAGCTTTAGGAAATCCAGATTCAAATTCTGACAACAGTGCACAGAGGCGAGTGAATTGTGCAGGTCTCCGCGCCTCAGTGTCCTGTTGCTGAGCAGTTTCCCCTGCCTTTGCTAAGCTGTGTGTGCAAAGAAGAGTTGCTCTGGGGCCCTGCCAGACTGTGCTTGTGCAAAGCAGCTCCAACCATGGCATGGTCTTGATGGAGCAGGTGGGGTGTGAATGCTCCCACCTTCCTCACTGTCTCTGGGCTGGACCAGTCCCAATCAGGGCCCCTCTGGTCATGCACACTGCTTTAAATTGCCTGTGCATGAAGTTCCCAGCAAACCTGATGTTTTTAGTTTATTTTATTTCCCTAACCCACTGCTAAGACTGGTTTTATCAAGTACCTTTTGCTAGCCTAATAAAATATCATTATCATTTATGAAAGAAAGCCAGATGCTTAGCAGATGAAACTGTCCAGGAGAGTGCTGGTGACAGTGCTGCAGATGGACTTAGATGCAATCAATTTATGATAACAATGCTGAGCAAAGGAACAGCTGTGACAATCTCCCTGCTTGGGTTTGGATACCATATCTGATGGCACCTATTTAAATCCTTGTCTCCACCACATTTAGCAGTAAATTTATCCTGCAGCAAGACTGAGTGTTGTCTAGTGTAAACAGTAGCCACTCCTTCCTCACCATACACCAAGAGCAAAGTACAGGCATTGTTTTTGTGCAGGTGGAAACAGGTTCCCACAGTGCTTCACTCAGTGAAAAGGTTCATCTTGTTTTGTGTTGGCAGCCCTGGGTCAGTTTACTTCTGCATCTGTGGTGGTCTGGATGTCAATTTGTATGATTACAAGGACTGGCTTGCTACAGAAAAGCAGACAGACTTATTTTCTTTAAGTTTTCATAAGAAGCCTTTCATACAAAATATAACATATTTAGCCCACCATGTCCATAACAAATACCTCTTCTAGCCTTTTTATTAATCTATTTATTTTTAAAATCATGCAGCTATAAACATATCACCTGGTGTTGTACACATAGAACCTGCTTAAAGATCTTTCCACCACCAGTATTGCATCTTGCAGAAAGTGGAATATTGACAAAATATGTGACCTTTGAGGCGGGGTGTGGTGAATGGCTGGTCTGAATCTCCCTGCAGATTTTTGCTTCATCTCTCTTATTCAGTGATGTGATCCCTTTGCACGATTACCATCTTTCCACACTCACTAGCCTGCAAGAGCCCTAGCAAGCTCAGATGAACAACCAAATAACATGTATTCACTGAATTAATCCACCAGGCATCACCACTTTGATAACAACTGAAGTTGTCCCCTGAAAACAGGGAATCAACAAAATCATTAACGGGATTTCATGTACTTCATTCTCTTTTCTGAAGATGAAGCTGAGCTCCCTGTTTAGATGGGTAACATTATGGGGTCACACATAACAGTTGTGTTATGTGTGACCTGTTTACAGTCACTGTCCCTTGATAACGTGACGATGTCACATTCATGATGTCAAAGATTATTTTGCTTTTTGTGATATCTTAAACTATTCCTAGCACAGAAAGGGAAGGGGAAAAAAAGAAAAAAGAAAAAAGAAAAAAGCCTGTTTTGCACATCACTAGCTATTAGGCTATGTCTGGTTACATCACATCAGCTGACATACCATAAACCAATGCAAGCAGATCAGATGTGACACAAATGTCATGTTGCATCAGATTTTAAAAAAATTGTCAGCTTTTACACCGTAGATAAAAAATGCCAAGAGAAGTTCAACAATTGCACCTGTTCAAGATAAAGCAATGCTATTTACCAACTGTAATACCTATTTTCATATTCCAATGGCACATTTCCAGTTTATGAAATTACCACTTTTCCTCTGTTACGCTCTTATTCCTCACCAAAAGACACAGAAGTCATGACCATTAACCTTGACAAAGCACCCATCAGCAGGGAATTCATCAGCTGAAAAATGGATAAAACATTGTGCCTATCTCAAGAAAAATAATAAAAATAAACAGCACTGAAATCAATAGCAACCTTTCTATTGATTCAAACAGGAAATGGATCAAGGTTTCCATGCCTCAGTAAATACTTCTACTGTACAACTAATTTCCAATTAGGAGGAAAAGCATGTTTTTAGTAGGCCAGTAAGGAAAAAATAAATAATAATAATAATAATAAGAAATTATATAACAGAACAGACAGAATACAAAGGAAAGGTAGCACTTACATAACGTATCAAGTGTTAATGCCATGGTTGTTTTTTCAATGTTTTCTTCATTTTCCACTCACACAGAAGAGAGAGTGAATAAGAGAGCAAGCCCGAAGTTTGCTCCAGTAGCAGGGACCTGGCGCATGTACATGCCCCTCCTAGGGGTCAGCGAAAATATTGCGCCTGAACCAGAGGCCACTGGCCACCTGCTCACCCTGATTCTGGAGCAGAAAAAAGCTTTGGGACATTTGCAGCTCCCCTATCTGTGGTTTACTAAAGTAGTCATTTCAATGCCATATCATATGTGAGCTGCAGAGGAGTCTGACACTCCTTTGCAAGAATTCCCCTTGCCCACAGTCACAGCTTATATCAATTACTTTCAGCAACCTGAGGGTCTTTATTTTGTGTTGGGTTGGTAGCAGTCTGCCTTTATGATAGATTATTGCATGAGGCTGGAAACTCTTGGTGACACTGATAACACAATTGGTTAATAACTTCTGTTACAAGCTCAAGCAAAGCCCAAACTGCAAAATTAAACAGTAAATGGCCAGAAGCATCACCTGCGTTACTAGGAGAGCACCTGCACACGAACCTACTGCCTGCTCACAGCAGCAAGCAGCTGCAGCAGCAATAGAGGAATTGGGTGGGGGAGGCATGAGCTGACTGAGTGACTCTGCTCTCCAAAATCAATCTCCGGTATGGTTTTCCCCTTCTCACATAACGTGTATACAACAGGAAAAATTTCCCTTCCCTTGTTTGCATGTCTCAATATGAAAGAAAAGAGACAGGCATTCCTGCAGGAGCAGGGATGCTGAGCAGTGAGATGAAAGTGCTTGTCAAGGATGACAGGAACTAAAAGGACATTCTCCAGGTTATGTGGTTCTCTGTAAACTTTCAGTAACCTCCTCCTTGACATTGTGTCTATCACATAATACTGCTTCAGGAGAGAAGTAGTGTTTAACACCTGCAGCATACTAGATCTTGCTCCTCTGACATGCCACTTATTTTGCTATGAATCTTCCCTTTTGATTTGGCAAGTGCAAAGGCCCATTTCTGGCCTTTTTTTTTTTTTTTTGGTGGTGGTTTGCTTTATTTATTTATTTATTTCCTAAAGGCTCTAATAACTCCACTCCTCAACTGCTCAGCCCAGTTTTGGGGAAAGAGAGCACATGCAGGGAGGGGTGGAGAAACAGTTGCAGTTTCAATAATGGTTGAAGCAACGTTCAAGAAATATTTTCAGTATATTAAAAGAGGAACCAGTGCTTTTCCCCAGGCTCCCCACTGTAGCTGATGTGAAGAGAACATTCTGCAGAATACAGACCGCATTGCTGAGTGCAGTTCTGCCCTGTGAAAATTTGTTTTCTATATGGAAATTTCTTTAAATGACAGTCTAACAAGTCAGACATTTTCTCTGATGTGGAAATATTTCCTGCTTATCTTCTTCATCATTCAGATTGTTATTCATCATGTATGCTGGAGCAGCACCTGTGGATGGACCCAAGCAAAGGTATTAATTCGATGATGAATCAGGCAGTTTACTCGTAGACTAAGACTCAAATTGTAAAGCGATTCATCTTAGAACCTGTTTATAAGTGAAAAACAGACACCTTGAGGCTGCTAACCTTTTAGAAACACCACAGTGACAAATTCTGCCTGACAGGTTTGATATGAATTCTGCTTGCTGTATAAATATTGATGGTTTTAAAGCTTAGCATTGCAAACTTAATCTTAGCAGGTATATTTGCAGATCTAGAGCTGTGCTGAGTGCAAGCCCCCTGTTCTGGCAGGGAAATGATGCAGTGCAGTGCTCAAGGTGTTATTTAGAGTCATTAGTTCTTGAAAGGAAAAAGTTAATTGACAAGTGTTCACAAATGTTGTGTACTTGAACATCTCAGAGGAATAGCCCAATTACTATACTCTCAAACAAGCAGATCCAGGATCATTAAGAACCACTGACATGTTGAAAAAGACACTGGGAAGGCATGCAAGCAGAACAGGATTTTTGTGGTCATGTTGCTCTCTTTGTGAAGGGGAAAACAAGCCACCCAGGAACCCCCGCTGTGCCTTCATATTACCTACAGATGCCCTGGAGATCTCTTTGAGCAAGGCAAGAAGAAAGCAAAGAACTTCAGGATTTGAACTTGAGTGTTTATTTTTAGGTCTTCTGAACAGTTGTCTCATGAAGGTCTGCATCCATGGAGCCTCAGAGCCCATCTCCATCAGCCAGAAGCATAATTTATAGCTCATTTTCTCCAGCATCAAAGCTAACTGCATGAAAGACATACAATATTGAGAAAGATCCAATTTTGCTAACACTTTGAAGAGTTAAGGAAGCAAGACAGGAAAAGAATATTAAAAAAAAAATATGTACACCAGTTTTCTTTGTTTTCTGGCTTCTAGACAGTTCCCCTTTATTTACTCCACCTATATAGTTCACCTTTAGATAACTTAGCTAATGAACATTTATTCATACTTTTAAAATAAAGCATTTTTAAAACTAAATCTTTAAGTTAATGAGCTGCCTTGCAAATTTTCTGTTTTTACCAGAGCTACTTTGGGTCATGCCTGCCAAACCAAATTCTTTGACCCAGTTTCTAAGAATAAATTCCCTCCTGAAAGCTGAACACATCTGCACCAATCTGTATAGTCCAGCTTGCTGCAACTGGGTTTTTATCATGGAAATGCACAGAGACTTTAGCATTGGTGATGTGAATTAAGCTACTGTATTTTTTCCAAGGCTATTCTAAAATTCTGAGGTCAGTACTTATATGGCTTAGTGACAAGGGAATTAACTGTACAAAGATCAGGAGATATTAAAATAAGAAAAAAAATAGCTCACTGCAAAAAAATAGTAGCATGCAATAATGTATGAGGCACAGATTGCCATTACTTAAAGTAAAAGAGCTGTAACACTTTTTTTTTTTTTACTTTACAGTAGCAAATGGGTGCAAGGAAAAACAAACAAACAAACAAAAAAAAACAATTAATGAACATTCTTTGAAAAAAATATGATCAGGACACTGTGATCAAACTTTTAAAAGAATTATTATACATAATGAGATATATTAGCTGCCAGATACCTGCAACCATACAGATCAGCTCCCTTCCTTCTACTTTCTGTTTAGGCTGCAAATCCACATGTCACAGAGTGTATCTCACTGCGACCTCTTGCCCACACTATAAATCAATGGTAGTTTTGCTGCTGAGCTGCTGTACTTAAATCAAGTCCTATGCATATAAATAAACATAAAATCACATAGCAGCCCCATGCTGTAATCCTGATGGGACTCTGAGGCTGTCATAAGAAGAGTTGTAGCTTGGTCATAATTGCACACAAGTGCCTCCCATTTGCACTTCTGCCCAGCAGAGTCTAGAGAAGGATGTTTGCTTCAGCTGATGTAGATTAGGCCTCTTTAATCTCTCCTGGAAATATTTTTACATGCTGTTTTTCAGTGGAGGTCTTGACACAGGTGGAATATATGATCAGCCTTTCTACAAGGGCTTGATCTTGCAAACTCCTCATTCAGTGAGAGCCCAGGGTACCCACTATACTAAACCAAGGCCTGGCTCCACTAAAACACAGATAAAAGAAGCACCTCCAGGAGGAGGTGGTTGTTACCATGTCCCTAAATCTCTGAACTGGGGGGATATTACAGCAGTGCAGGCCTGGGCTGCCAGAGGAGCAGAAATCACCAGTTACCCAGCTCAGAACTTGTTTTAGATGCAGTAACAAATATAATGCCCAGGTCTGGAAGGGTGCTGGAATGAGGAATATTTACAGGCTGAACTGGACCCCTGGGAGAAGACTAGCAGCAGCACCTTAAAGGAGCCCAGCACAGGCTCCCAAAAATTCCAGAAAAAAAAAAAAAATGATTTACATTATTATTATTAATTAATTTAGCCCAGGACTAAGCAGACTGCAGACTAAGGACTGCAGGCTTAGCAGAAGGTCCTGTCAAATTATATTTTACTTTGACCCAGAATCTATGGACATATTCTGACTACATTTATCTCCATGGCTCCTCCTGACTCTTTTGGAAACAGCAGCATTTGTTTGCCACCCTGAGGCAGCTCTCCTTGGGAAACAGCAAGGTGTTTCTGCATAACTGGGTCCATTAGCCAAAGCACCGTTGCAGGGCACAGCTCAGTTAATCCATTGAATTTTTGTACCCTCCCTCTAAAATCTCTGGGAAGCCTCAGGGAGCTTAAACAATGTAAGAGCATCAAACACTGAACCTACTACCCTTTTGTTTCAAGTTCAACCACTTTGCTTTCAGCCTCGTCACATGGGGGGTGAAGCGGAGTGATGTAGTTTTGGAGAGGGTTGTGTTGCAAAATGGTGACTGAGGGAAAGGCATGGGAAAGAGTGCTGATGCTCCTCAGAAAAATCCATTTTCTTCTTCCTTCTTCTCAGGGGCCCAGAGCCATCCCAGGTCTGGGAGACTGTGTAAGAACAATTTGTTTGTACAGGGAATGGCAAGATGCAAGAGCACTGCCGGGGTAAACTGAAAGAGAGTGCCAAGAGAGGAGTATATTTCAGGCACCAACGTGAAATGGGTTGTAGTTTTGCTTCTCTACCTTGCTACCTAACTGTAACTGCATGTATCAGTGGAGAAGAAAACCATGGCAACAGAAACTTAGTTCATACTTTAATTTATTGCCATCGAGATATTTGCCAAGTGCCAACTCCCTGGGAAAAAATGTATTTTTCATCAGCACTACACAGAAATTAGCATCAGAAGAATTAATGCACTTAATAACTGTCATGAAACACTTAGAAAAGTGCCTGAGACATGAAGACAACTGTATTTATGAGTCCCTTCAACCTCTAGCAAACATCAGCTAACTGGATAAATGTCAATGCAAGTTTGAATCATGATTTAGTGTCATTTTAAATCTAAGTGAAGCAAGGGTTTTCTTTATTTAGCTAACACTGGAAGTGACATAATGAAAAAAGGACAAAAGCTCCTGTTTGTGCTGCAGATCTCTCAGCCTTAAACCTAGAAGGTGAGGGCATTTCCCAAATGGGTCAAGGCATAAAGGAATGTGACTATTTTGCATCCAGAAGAGAATGAGTGCCTAAAATAAAGAATAGAGATGGAACCATTTGGATCCCTTAGCCTTGGGACTCACCTCACCAACTTTCCTCCTCCATGGGATATCTGCTGGCATTGCTGTGTGAGCACCTTCCATCCAGGAGAGCTCTGGAGGACTGCATGCAGTGAGCCTCCTGCTGTGTCTCAGGTGGCAAAGCAGCAAAATGGAAAATTTGTGGGTGTCTCTAGGAGATGCAGGACTGAGTGTTCCAAGCCCAATCTGACATTCTGTTCCTTGGCCCAACCACAAGGTTATCCTCCTGCCACCCCACAATCCCAACAGCACAACTTCTCCACATCAGTTTGGTACTTCCTCTCCCTCCATATCACAGTTTTCTAATTTGCAGTGACAGAAAACAAGCAACAAGCTGCCCAGAGCATCTCCAGGCTTTACATTCTTATCTCGAGAGAGTCTGTGTTTGGTTTTGGCCCAGGGACAGAAAGAAGTAACATTTTTCCCAACACTAATGCTGAATCATAGGTAAATGTATATTTAATGCATTAAATACACAACAAACAAACTTCAAATACAATTAAGATCACTACGGGTAGCACTGTATTTTTAAAGGACAATCTCTGTTGTTTTTGTTGTTGTTATTTCATATACATATTTCAATAAAATATTTTATTATTTATATATAAATATACACATATGGCTATATATTTATATATATTATATATATTCTTATATATATATATTATACTGTGTTGCCAACAGATAGCAACACCTACTGTAAGACTTGCAACACAGAACTGTGTCCTGGGTTTACTTTCAGAGCCTACAGAGACTTTAGGAAATTTGGGATGTTATGGGCCTGTTTTCACATCTCAAGCAACAGCTTGTTCAAAGATTTCTAGAGGATGGTGTTTTCAGATACCTCCTAATTTGGAACCAGACTTCCTCCTCCACATTATTAAACACCATTTCCTTACCATGAAGGCTGTATTGATGAAATTCATTCTATGTATTATTTTGCAAGCTTGTAACAAACTGACCACTTCATTCAACCTCACGGTTTTAGTAGGGAACACTACTTAGTACCACATTGAAAATGGCATATTTATTATGAGAAAAATAGCAACTGATTCATTGTTCAGCTGATGGGAGGAATTGTTTCTATCACTGCATGATTCATCTTGATTCATCCCACGCCTGGAATGATGGAGGAATAATTTAAAGTGACCTGTACGTATCGGTAAGCCCTAAACTAACAGCAGCCACAGGGCATTATCACCATGGGCAGCTGAGGAAAGTCTCTGCTTTGTATACATTGATGATGGACAAAAGCAAAATGTGTGGATACGTCAGCTTCATAGTAACAATACTGAAAAGATGAAAACAGTTATTGAAACAGAGGATGTTCTCTCATTCAGAGTTTGTTGTGGAAAGCCAGCTCTCAAGGGAGAAGGTAGAGAAGAAGCAAGCTAGAGAAAAGGAATCAAATTTTTTATTGTAGCCAAAGCAAGATCTGTGCAGGGAAAGAGTGAAAAAAATAACCTGCTACATGTGCTGATGAGACAAATAGGACAGGGAGTCCTATTTGGACATTTGGATCCTATTTGGATCTGTCCTATTTAGGACAGATCATCCTAAAATAGTGAAAAGCCTGGTGTGTGCCTGCTTGCACATAAGGCAAGCAGAGAATAGGTAATAAAATGAGAAACAGGCAAGCCTAAAGTAAATACAGGGAAAAGGGAGAGAGAGAAGAACTGTAACACAAAGCAGATACTCCAGGACCCAGTAACTCTGGAAACCATAAGATAGGGATGATAACAGCAGCCAGGTAAACAATCCAAAAACCAGAAGGGCTCAGGTGCCCTGATAGTGTGGGGTAGCAGGGGTGACCTTATAGAAATCACAGATTATTTGCCACAGAGCACCATTTCTTTTGGGATCCTGGGATGACCCAAAGTGCTTCATGAGACACTAAGACATGGTCATATTGTTCCTATGGCACAGCTTTATTGTGTCCAGGAACAAGGAGCTCGATACCAGTGTTCCAGTGTGCTGTGGTGCCAAGCAGGACACATGCAGAGCTGCCCTGTGGAATGGACCAGATTATAGATTCACTAAGTGAATACTCTGAAACACTGTAATTGCTATATGGGATGCATTATTGCAATATGAGGGTTTTAATGGAGAGTTAAGAGCAGTGCTGACCTTTAAATACCCTACACATTCTAAGGCTGCACTAGATGATTTTACACCAAGTTTTTATTAGCATTATAAGTAAATGAGTTATTATCATTCATGAATTCTGTAACAGTCAATTTGTTTCTCTGCCCAGAGCCTTGAAGTGCCTATTTCACAATTTCTTAGAGATGTAACCATAGGAACTAAGTGGTTGCCAACATAAACCTTCATAATTAATGATGATAAGCTTTCACCCTATTGAGTGATACTGAAATGTATACAGAGCCGATGAAATGCACCTCAAGGGCCATGGGGCCCTAAAGGCAGCAGTACATTGACTTACTGTATGTAAAACTTACGCACTGCCTGAGTGACTGCATTGGCTCAGCTGTGCATTTTTGAAACTCCCACAAAGACGCATGCTGTGAAATGGAAGAACATGAAGGCAGATTTTCTGCCCTGGAAAGCAGAGATCCCTCTGAGCTGTAATGGAGAGCAAAGCAGTGCCCCTGCCCTGCAAGAATGTGTTTTTTTGTTTTCCAATTTTTATTTTTCCTAATCAGCTAGTGCTGGAGGATAGACAGGTCCACTGCAGATGATCATCCTCAAAGAGGTGTGTGGTTCCTAAACAATATCTTATATTTTCCTAAGAACCTACATGGGGACACAGACATTCCATCCCTTCAAGATTCCCAGTACACTTTCTGGACAATTGCAGCTGCACACAGAGAGCAAGGGGCTCTCTGTTCCAGTGGGATCAGCCCCACAAAAGAAAGGAATGCGGAGCTTGACATTTAAATGTTTTCTGAAGGCAAACAATTGACAGTGGACACAGTGACAGCTTCCTTTCATCTTTGAGGGGTGCTACTATAGAAATATGAAGTGCTTCAGGGGAGAGATGATATAGGCCATGTACACTCCTGTGAATAGATGAACAGACACACCAATTTCTATCTAAGCTGTCTGTATACAGCACCTGGTGTTAAGAAGCCCACATTTTGTTTCTGTGGTGCAATAATCCTAACAGTAAAGAAGCATGTTTGAATATTTAACTTCATTAAGTAAACTACACTGATCCTTTAAACAGGTTGTTGGTTATCTTGAACATCAAAAACACTCCGAATCCTCTATGCTTAAATGTATCCATCTTCAATTTGGTACAGAT